TCAGAAACCTTCCAACAAAGAAAAGCATGGGACCAGATGGCTTCATTGATTAATTCAATGAAATGTTAAAAGAAAAGTTAATTTCAGACCTTCTCACAGCCTTCCAAAAAACCTGAAGAGGAAGGAATATTTCCAAATTCATTGGTAGGCATTATCCCAGTACCAAAGCAAGACAAAGAGGACACAAGACAGAAAACTATAGCTCAGTATCCTTGATGAATATAGATGCAAAACTCTGCAGTGAAATACTAGCAGACTGATTCTAACAGCAAGGTACAAGTATCATATTCCATGACTAAGTGAGATTTATCCTTAGGATGCAAGGATACTTCAACATATGAAAACTAGTTGATGTGATATGCCACACTAACAATAAAGAAGCAGAATGACATGAGCATCTCAATAGATGAAGAAAAAGCCTTGGACAAAATTTAATACCATTTCCCAGTAAAAACTCTGAACAAACTAGGAATAGAAGGAAATTATCTCAATGTAATAAGAGCCCACAGCTAACATACTCAACGGTGAAAAACTGACACTTTTTTCTCTAAGATCAAGGAACAAGACAAGGATGCCTACTCTTATCACCTCAATATAGTACTGGAAATCCTCCCTAGAGCAATTAGGTAAGAAAAAGAAGTAAACACCATCCAAATTAGAAAGGAAGAAATCAGTCTTTTTTGGCAGGTGACATCTTATATATAGAAAACTTTAAAGACACCACAAAAAACTACTAGAACTAATAAATGTAGTAAAGATGCAGGATACAAAGTCAGCGTACAAAAGTCAGTTGCCTTTTTTTTTTTCTGGAGATGGAGTTGCATTCTTGTAGCCCAGGCTAGAGTGCAGTGGTGTAACCTTGGCTCACTGCAACCTCCACCTCCTGGATTCAAGTGATTCTCCTGCCTCACCCTCCCGAGTAGCTGGAATTACAGGCACCTCCCACCACACCGAGCTAACTTTTTGTATTTTTAGTAGAGACGAGGTTTCACCATTTTGGCCAGGCTGGTCTTGAACTTCTGACCTTAGGTGATCCACCCGCCTCAGTCTCCCAAAGTGTTGGATTGCAGACATGAGCCACCGTGCCCCGCCATCAGTTGCATTTTTATACGCTAGCAATGAACTATCTGGAAAGTAAATTAGGAGAACAATCCCATTTATATTGACACCATAAAGAATAAAATAAGAGTAAGCTTAACCTTTCACCTCCTTAGGTGAGATACATGCAATACTGAGAACCATAAAACTAAAGAAATTGGGCTGGGCACAGTGGCTCACGCCTGTAATCCCAGCACTTTGAGAGGCAGAGGCAGGTGGATTGCTTGAGGTCAGGAGTTCAAGACCAGCCTGAACAACATGGTGAAACCCTGTCTCTACTTAAAAAAAAAAAAAAATACAAAAATTAGCTGGGTATGGTGGCCCATGCCTGTAGTCCCAACTACTCAGTGAGCCTAGATCGCACTACTGCACTCGAGCCTGGGCGACAGAGCGAGACTCCTTCTCAAAAAAGAAACTAAAGACACTTAATAGATCTTCATGAATTTAGAACACTTAGTATTGTTAAATTGTCCATACAGATTGAGCATCTCAAATTTGAAAATCTCAACTGCTTGCCAGGTGCAGTGGCTCACACCTATAATCCCAGCGCTTTGGGAGGCCGAGGCAGGCATATCACGAGGTCAGGAGTTCAAGACTAGCTGGCCAACATAGTGAAACCTCTTCTCTACTAAAAATACAAAAATTCGCCAGGCATGGTGATGCGTGCCTGTATAGTCCCAGCTACTCGGGAGGCTGAGGCAGGAGAATCGCTTGAACCCGGGAGGTGGAGCTTGAGGTGAGCTGAGATCGCACGTCTACACTCCAGCTTGGGCAACAGAATGAGACTTGGTCTCAAAAAAAAAAAAAAAAATCTGAACTGTTACAAAATTTGAAACTTTCTGAGCATCAACATGACTCAAATGCTTATTGAGTGTTTTGGATTTCGGATTTTCAGATTTGGGATGCTCAACCTGTGTCAAGTATAGTGCAATATTTCAAAATCCAAAACAGTTGTGATCCCAAACTTTTCATATGAGGCATATCCAGCCTGTATTACAGAAAGTGTGCTACAGGTTCGCTATAGTCCCTCTCAAAATCCTGATGGGATTTTTTTTTTTTCTTTTTGTGGAAGCAGGAAAAGCAGTTCTAAAATTCATATGGAACCACAGAAAATCATGGACTAGCCAAATCAGTCTTGTGAAAGAACGAAGCTAGAGGCATCATACTTTTTTTTTTTTTTTTTTTTGAGGAAGTTTTACTCTGTTGCCCAGACTGAAGTGCAATGGTGTAATCTTGGCCCATTGCAGCCTCCGCCTCCCTGGTTCGTGTGATTCTCCTGCCTTAGCCCCCCAAGTAGCTGGCATTACAGGTGGGTGCCACCACCCCCAGCTAATTTTTTTTCTTTTTTCTTTTTTCTTTGTTTTAGTAGAGATGGAGTTTCACCATATCGACCAGGCTGATCTCGAACTCCTGACCTCAGGTGATCCACCAGCCTTGGCCTCCCAAGGTGCTGGGATTATAGGCATGAGCCACTGCGCCCAGCTGGCATCATGCTTCTTGATATCAAAATATTTTACAGAGCTACAATAATCAAAGGGACTAGCTTAAAGAGACATACAGACCAATGGAGCAGAATAGAGAGCCCACAAATAAATCCATGCAGATAATATGGTCAACTGATCTTCAAGGATGCCAGGAATGCACAATAAGGAAGGAATATTTTCTGCAACAAATGATGTTGGAAGAACTAGGTATTCACATGCAAAAAGATGAAATTGAACCCCTATCTTCTACCATAAAAAGAAAAAAACTCAAAATGAGTTAGAGACTTAGACATAAGACCAAAAAATGTAAATCTCCTGGAAGAAAACATGAAGGGAAGCTTCATGACATCGTTTTTAGTGATTTCGTGGATGTGACATCTAAAGCACAGCCAACAACAGAAAATAAGGCAGGTGGGACTACATCAAACTTAAAAGCTTCTGTACAGCAAAGGAAACAACTGAGGGTGAAAAGGAAATCTAAGGAATGGGAGAAAATATTTGCAAAACCAAATAAATGATAAGGAGTGAATCCCAAAAATATATAAGAAACTCCCACAACTGATCGTAAAACAAAAATCTACTCAATTAAAAAATGTGGTAACTTTACAGTCCAAATGATGCAAAAAAAAATTAAAAAAAATTTTTTTTAATGTGCTAAGAACTTGAATAGACCTTTCTCCAAAGAAAACATACAGATGGCCAACAGATACGTGAAAAAAATGTTCAGTGTCACTAGTCATCAGGGAAATGCAAATGAAAACCACTATGAAGTATCACTTCACACTTTTCAGGATGGCTGTCAAAAAAAAGACAAAAGACAACTAGTGTTGGTGAGGATATAAATAAATTGGAATCCTTGCACAATGTTGGTAGGAATAGGTGCAGCCATTATGGAAAACAGTATGAATATTCCACAAAAAATTAAAATACCATACATTTCAGCAATCCCACTTACTGAACATTTATCCAAAAGGACTGAAATCAGGATCTTGAAGTTTTAGCACTCCTATGTTCATTGCAGCACTATTTATAGTAGCCACGAGAGGAAATAACTTAAATACTCGTCAATAGATTAATGGGTGAAGAAAACGTAGTATATGTATCCCATGGAATACTATTCAGCTTTTAAGAATAAGAATATTCTGCATATGCAACCACATGGATGAACCTTGAGTACATTATGCTAAGTGAAATAAGCCAGGCACAGAAAGACATACACTGCGTATTTCCATTTATCATTTTAGAGGAATCTAAAATAGTCACTTCTACTCATATGAGCTATCTAAAATAGATTGAAAGAGTGGAATAGGGGTTGCTAGGAGCTGAGAGGGAGGAGGAAATGGGCAGTTACTCATCAATGGGCATAAAGTTTCAATTGAGCAAGATGAATAAACTAGAGATCTATACAACATTGTACCTGTAGTCAATAATGTACACTTAAAAATGTGTTAAGATCTCATGTTCTTATTACAATAAATGTTAAAAGGTTTCATTGAACATGTGACATTAGAGTTGGACCTTTAAGGGGTGAGTGGTAGGATGAGTATAATCAGAGATAAAATGATTAAGCATCCAACTAGGAAGATGTTAATAAAGGCAAGTCAGGTCAGGCGCCGTGGCTCACGCCTGTAATCCCAGCACTTTGGGAGGGTGAGCGGGCAGATCACCTGAGGTCAGGAGTTTGAGACCAGCCTGAAAAACATGGAGAAACCCTGTCTCTACTAAAAATTCAAAATTAGCTGGGCGTGGTGGTACATGCCTGTGATCCCAGCAACTCGGGAGGTTGAGGCAGGACAATCTCTTGGCTCTGGGAGGCAGAGGTTGTGGTGAGCCAAGATCACACTATTGCATTCCAGCCTGGGCAACAAGAGTGAAACTCCGTCTCAAAATAAATGAATAAAATAAAGGCAAGTCAGCTATTAGAAAGTGCAGGGTTTGTTTGAGAAACAGTATATAGTGTGTGTGTGTGATATAGTTTAAAATTTGGAAAGGTAAATAGGAAAATAATGTGAAGGGCCTTGAAATAAAGTCAGAGAGGTACTAAATTTTGTTTGCTAAGTTGTGAAAAGCTATTGAAGATTTTGGAGCTGAGTTGGCACAGCTGTAATCTCCCTGGCAAGAAATGTAGCATGTCTGACATGTAATAGCCAATTCATATATTTGAGTGATAGAATCTTAACTGTTCTCCAAGAGCCTCAAGAAATCTTCCGGAAAAATCTTAGTTTAAGATTTTCCAGCTAGGTAGTGTTGGAATTTAGCTGCAATATTATTATATTGCTAATGAGAATTCTGCCAGAAAATAGTTTTCAAAAATAAATACTAATCAAGCTCCAAGCCCTGGGCTTTTCTTTCTTTACTAAACATTGTAAGATTTGAGGTCAATATGATTACATGCTCTAATGTACATCTTCTTTGCAGGTGTTAGTAAAATGGCCTTTCGCCATTTAATTGAGTTCACATATACAGCAAAATAATTGATACAAGAGAAGAAGTCAATGATGTATGGAAAGCAGCAGAGTTTCTACAAATGCTAGAAGCTATCAAAGCCCTTGAAGTCAGGTACTTATTTCTTTAATGGGGTTCAGATAGTCATTCAGTCATGTTCATTCTGTTAGTGAAGAACCTATAGTATGTGTCATGCCATGAACAGAGTTATTCAGAAGAATTAAGAATATTTAAGGATCTATAAAAAATTTTTCTGGATACTGATCTTTCACTTGACTTTGATTTTCTGTTCATGTGTTAAAACTGCTAATATTAAAGTAGCATCTTTGATATCTAATAAGTCTAGACAGCTTTTTAAGGATCTGGATCCCTGTAAACTGTTTTGTTGGATTCAAGTTATTGTTTGTACCAAGCCTTATCCTACAAAAAGGGTTTGGCTTACAAAGATGAACGTAATACTGTTTAAAAATAGGGAACTAGGTAGAAATAAATTGGTGGAATAAAGAGATAATCATTACAAGTTAGAAGTAGAAGTATGATAGCCAAAAACGTATACTGTAAGTCTATATAGTAGGTGTGGTAAATCTGGCTCTTAAGTGCACCTAGTTCAAAGAAAAAGAGTAGTCAGTTAAGTTACTCCTTCTTAGAAGCCGAGAACAAATCTATTGCTGAGGAGCCGTTCCTAGTATTAAAATTTCTCCTGAGAAGTATTAAGAAAACATTAGGCCAGGCCCAGTGGCTTATGCCTGTAATCTCAGCACTTTGGAAGGCTGAGGTGGATGGATAGCTTGTGCCCAGAAGTTCACAACCAGCCTGGGCAACATGGTAAAACCCTGTCTCTACAAAAAATACAGAAATTAGCTGGGTGTGGTAGTGCCCGCCTGTGGTCCCAACTACTGAGGAGCTGAGATGGGAGGATCACCTGAGCCTGGCAAGGTGTGGCTGCAGCGAGCCGTGATCACGCCACTGACTGCATACCAGCTTGGGCAACAGAGTGAGACCTTGTTTTTTTTTAAAAAAGAGAAAACATGAAAGGCTATAATGAATAGAGACCTTAACATCCTTACTTAATGGATAATGGCAGTGTAACATAGTTACTAAGAATAGGAGCTCTGGAGTCAGTTTCCCTCGGTTAATATCCTGTTTCTACCACTGTGGCCTTAATTAAGTTACTTAATCCTGTCAGCTGTGTCCTCCTCTGTCAAATGAGAGTAATAAACGGTACTTGCTACATGGAATTTGATTATTTGTGAGGGTTGAATGAATTAATGCATGCAAAGCATTTAGCATGGCATCTGACTAAATGAGTACTCTTAAGTATGAACTATTACCTCCTGGTACTGTTTTTTATGTTTCTCAATACAGATCATTGGCATGATGCCAAAACAGTTTGGTAAAATCAGTTTCACATAGCGGCACAATGATTTAATCTTAACTCACTGTTGTGGTTTAGTTAAAAGATCAAATTTATTTCTCTGAGGACTCTACTGGAATGTTATTTTATCTTATTTTTTTGAGACGAAGTCTTGCTCTGTCTCTCAGACTCAAGTGCAGTGGCGCAATCTCAGCTCACTACGACCTCCACCTCCCAGGTTCAAGCAATTCTCCCTGCCTCAGCCTCCTGAGTAGCTGGGATTACAGGTGCCCGCCACCATGCCCAGCAAAGTTTTGTATTTTTAGTAGAGGTTTCGCCGTGTTGCCCAGGCTGGTCTCAAACTCCCAACCTTAAGTGATCTGCCCGCCTCAGCCTCCCAAAGTGCTGGGATTACAGATGTGAGCCACCGTGCCTGGCTGAAGAAAAGTTTTTTTAAGAGATAAAAATTTAGATAACTCTAAGATTACTGAACTGTACTCGTCCATAAATATCATCTCTTAGTTTGACAGTTCAAGAGTAAACTTTTCTGATAAGAGCTTGGTATGTATATATATTCTTTAATGCTTAGCACCTGGCATATAGCAGGTGTACAGGAAACATTTGTGAATAGATAGATGGATACATGCTAATTAAAACCAGGTCAGTACTCTCTTGCAGAGACCTGAGCATGGATGTCAAACTAGAGATGCGTTCTGAGGATATATACCTGATCAGGCCATCTCTTCTCAAAAAGATTAAAGGAAATACATATGGATGGGGCGATGTCAGATTTGTGGTTAAATCTTGAATAAGAGCCTTCTGAAAGAATGTTCTCTGTGGCCCTTTTGCTGCTCATGATAGTGAGTGGTATGTCACTTTGGAGAAGGTTGTGGCTCATGCCTGTAAATCCCAGCACTTTGGGAGGCCAAGATGGGTGGATTGCTTGGGCCTCAGGAGTTTGAGACCAGGCCCTGGGCACCATGGCGAAATGCGAACTCTGTGAAAAATACAAAAATTAGCTGGCATTGTTCCGTGCAACTATAGTCCCAGCTACTCAGGAGGCTGAGGTGGTAGGATTGCTTGAGCATGGGAGACTCAGAGGTTGCAGTGAGCCGAGATTGCACCACTGCACTCCAGCCTGGGTGAGAGTAGGACCCTGTCTCAAAAAAAGCAAAAAACTGGGATCCCAATAGTACCTAAAATCATCAGTGCTTTTCAGTATAAACACAGTAACGTTGATTTGTTTCTTGAGCCAGATAGGCATGTAATATGTTCTGAAGAGTTCCCTTTGAAAAGAAGAAGGCAGTAGTATTATATGTTGGCTGTTTATAATAATGCAATTTTTAAACTTCTACAGGGATGGTTTCTGTTGACTTTTTTCCCTGTTCATGAGCTGTATTTTACTGTTTATTTCTATATCTTTAAAAAAAGATATCGTATGTCTTTTTTTTGTTAAAAATTAGATTTTTGGCCTGGGCACGGTGGCTCACACCTGTAATCCCAGTACTTTGGAAGGCCGAGGCAGGTGTATCGTGAGGTCAGGAGTTGAAGACCAGCCTGGCGAAGATAGTGAAACCCCATCTCTACTAAAAATACAAAAAAATTAGCCAGGCATGGTGGCGGGCTCCTGGTAATCCCAGCTGCTTGGGAGGCTGAGGCAGAGAATTGCTTGAACCGGGGAGGAGGTGGTTGCAGTGAGCCGAGATCTCGCCACTGTACTCTAGCCTGGGTGACAGAGCGAGACTCCATCTCAAAAAATCGATTTCAAAATGAAAAGAAAAAAAACAAAACAAAAATCTATTCTTTTTTTTTTTTTTTTTTTTTTTTTTTAGTTGGAGTCTCGCTCTGTCACCCAGGCTGGAGTGCAGTGGCATGATCTCGGCTCCCTGCAACCTCCACCTCCTGGGTTCAAGCAGTTCTCTGCCTCAGCCTCTCGAGTAGCTGTGATTACAGGCGCCTGCCACCAAACCCAGCTAATTTTTTTGTATCTTTAGTAGAAACGATGTTTCACCATCTTGGCCAGGCTAGTCTTGACCTCCTGACCTCGTGATACACCTGCCTCGATCTCCCAAGGTGCTGGGATTATAGGCATGAGCCATGGCGCCTGGCCAAAAATTGGATATTTTAAAATAAGTTGTCTTTAGATCCCACCCCCTACCTCCCCACCCCCATTCTCTCTCTCAGACATGATTTGTTTGGGTTTGGTTTGTTTTTTGAAAAAAGGCAGGGTCTTGCTCTGTCACCCGGGCTGGAGTGCAGTGGCACAATCTCAGCTCACTGCAGCTTCAACCTCCCGGGCTCAAGAGATCCTCCCACCTTAGCCTCCCAAGTAGCTGGGACCACAGACGCTTGCCACCATGCCCGGCTAATTTTTGTGGTTTTTTTAGAGACAGGGTTTCATCATATTGCCCAGGCTAGTCTTGAACTCCTGGGCTCAAGAGATGTGCCCACCTCAGCCTCCCAGAGTGCTGGGATTATAGGCATGAGCCACCATACTTGGCCAGACATGGTTTCTTTTTTTAATCTTTCAAGCTTTTTTTTTTTTTTTTCCTCTGGAGATGGAGTCTCACTCTGTTACCAGGCTGGAGTGCAATGGCGCGATCTTGGCTCACTGCAGCGTCTGCCTCCCAAGTTCAAGCAATTCTGCTGCCTCAGCCTCTTGAGTAGCTGGGACTACAGGCACTTGCCACCACGCCCAGCTAATGTTTGTATTTTTAGTAGAGACGGGGGTTTCACCATGTTGGCCGGGATGGTCTCAATCTCTTGACCTCATGATCCACCCGCCTCTATCTCCCAAAGTGCTGAGATTACAAGCATGAGCCACCGCGCCCAACCTCAAGCTTTTATTTAAGTGCAGTGATCCAGGATGGATTTTAGATCTTGTTGAAAGCAGCCACATCCATGGACTACATCATAGTCCTCAAAAGCAGTGATCTGCTTCTCCACTGTTGCAAGTTTATCATCTTTGACTACATACTGTATTTGAAGTTTCTTAATTTCCTATCCCACTGGAACTAGTTTAGATGAGCCAGACATTGTTTTATTGTTGTTACTGGTTTAGCAACTTTCCTGGACTTGTGTAATTCCTTTCCTGTAATTCTATACAGTCTGTATTTTGTGTGTATGGCCATTGAAGTCTCTGCATAGGTAGTTTACTGAACAAAGTGATCATTGGACAGAAATTTTCTTAAATGTCTTAAACCAGTAAATCTCCACATTTTTGTTGGGCAACTCTTTATAGGGCACACCATCAGTGTCCCATCGAACAGTTTACAACTACTTTAGCCTTTATTTCGTGTGTTAACAGAACCTCAAGGTCACGTAGAGAGTTGCAAAGGTCTTTCCTGGACATGTATACAGCTCTGTGCATGTGCATGGCCTTCTAGGTTCTCTGGAATATGTCAGAGGTTTTTTTTTTTTTTTGGAGATGGAGTTTCGTGTTGGTATGATCTCGGCTTACCGCAACCTCCACCTACCAGGTTCAAGTGATTCTCCTGCCTCAGCCTCCTGAGTAGCTGGGATTACAGGCACTTGCCACCATGTCCAGCTAATTATTTTGTGTGTTTTTAGTAGAGTCGGGGTTTCACCATGTTGCCCAAGCTGGTCTTGAACTTCTGACCTCAGGTGATCCACCGGCCTCGACCTCCCAAAGTACTGGGATGACAGGCATGAGCCATCAGAGCCATCAGAGTCCAGCCTGTCAGAGCTTTTTAAAGCCCCCTATGAACATCTCATTCTCCAGTTTTTCCTTTCAGTTTTT